TACAAAGAAAATTATATATATAAAAAAACCCCCCCCCAAAACACACACACACACACACACACACACACACACACACACACATACACACACACACACACACGACTCCTGATCCTTGAGCCCCCTTGCTCGAAAACAACCAGTATTAGTTTCTGGTTTAAACCTCCAGGAATATTCTATGTAAATGTGTATATATATATACATATATTCCCTCCATCCCCTTGTTAACACACATTAAAGCAGCAAAAACACATTTTTCCATACCTCAACGAACATTTTTTAAAAGGTACTAATTGTTAAACACTAGACATGTGAAGCTTGCATAAGCCATTATCCCCACTCCATAGAAGCAACTGATGGTCAACTTGGTAATGAAATATGGACATATAATAATAAAATCATAGAATCTTAGGTCTTGAACTTGAAGATCACTTCATTGAATATTGAATATTTTTATTACACATAAGAAGATTCAGAAAGGCAAAGTATACAGCCAATTTGACAAATTAAGAAGTAGAAACTAATTTCTGTTTCAGGGGTCTTTGGATTAGCTCACAAGACCTTTGTGAAATAGAAAGTGAGATAATCCTGTCGTAAAGTTATAGAATCCTTTTACCTTTCAATGTGCTGTTCTGACGGTAGGGAGTGCACAGAGCTCTTCTTGTCTTCATGCTGCCTGTTGGCTCACTTCAGTCATGTTTTTCTCCAAGAGAAGAGACTGCTAGCCTGTTTGGTCAGAACCTGAGAAGTGAATTGAACTGCACTTATTGGAAGCAGGGTCCCTGTACATTAAATTGTCATGTGCATGTGACTGCCTATTTGCATGTAACTGGCAAATATATTAGACCAGATTTGTCCCTCTGGGAAGATTGATTTTCTTATTCTCAGATTTCTTTCTTCCATGTAGCTTGGCTTAATGGTGGTTAAGTCCTAAGCTTAGAATTCTGGCTTCAAGAAAAAGGTGGGACCTACTTAGGTCTCTAACTAAGCTGTGTGTTATTACCTGGTCTTATCATGGAAAACAAAGGCTGCAGCCCACTGGAGTTTGGTAATATTTTTGAGTAGTACTGAAGAGTCCCTGCTTTCTTGGATTATCAGTGTAAACAAACTAAGACACTGTTGATTTTAGAAGATGCTTAATAGAAAGGGTGATTAGTATGGCTGTTAATCAACAACTTCTTGCAGTGTTCAGCATTTGGTCCATAGAGAACCCAAGTTAAATATTAATGCCCCCTTTTGGAGTTTTAAAGTCTGGAATGCAGTGAATTTATACTGAGAAATGGGTTTCCTCTGAGGAAGCATTAAAAATATTAAGGACAGCCCTAACCAGTTTGGCTCAGTGGATAGAGCATCAGCCTGCAGACTCACAGGTCCCAGATTCGATTCCAGTCAAGGGCATGTACCTTGGTTGCGGACACATCTCCAGTGGGGGGTGTGCAGGAGGCAGCCGATCAATGTTTCTCTCTCATCAATGTTTCTGACTCTCTGTCCCTCTCCCTTCCTCTCTGTAAAAAATCAATAAAATATATTTTTTAAAAATATTAAGGACAGTGGCAGCCCTGATTAATTTATGCTGATTTGCATTGCATTTCCCTGAAACCATGTTAGGCACTGAGTAGGGGGAACTCCTCATGTTTAGGTATGATTCTTTCAACGGGAGAATGGTGAAATATACAGAATGCCAAGGCAGATGTGTTCTCACAGCCACTGGTAATGGGCTTTACAAATGAAAGTTTAAGCTATTCAGAATTAAGTTATGGGCTGGGGTGGAACTGGTAACCAGAACAAAGAAAATAAACATCGAATCAGGTAGAACTATTTATGATGGGTGGCGTTGTTTTTTAAGTCAGAGGATAAAGGGAATAGAGAAGCAGGAAAATTAACAGGGCCCCTACAAAGGGTTTGGTGGCACATTAATTATAGCTGAGATGAGAGAAGCCCACTCTAGCTTCTGCATCCACCTCACCCAGGCTTACCTATCAGATCTGCTCCGGTTATCCCAGCCTGCATGAGTTTAAAGCCAGTGATGTTGAAGGAAAATAAGGTATGTTTAGCTCAGGGTAGTGATTTTAATTCAAGGCCAATCTACTTGAGGGTAAAGAAATCTTTATTTGACCCCAGGTCAGAGGTCTAAGATTGTATGATATAGTCAATGTTGAGTGGCAGAGGCACCACAACATTTTGAAGGACTATTTGGCAAGCTCTAAAATATATATAATGGGCAGTGGCCCACGTATGCTTCCGAGACCCTACTATTCGAACACATTCACACATAATTTTAGAAGTTTCTGACACCAGAATACACACAAACGGGAGGCTTTGGATGAAACGTAATACCGCCACCTTGTGGCTACCACTGGGATGTTTAGACTCAAAAAGTTCCTGATGATGGTGCTAGAGAGCTAGTTTGCCAGCATGAAAACATTTCCCATAACTTAAGAGTGGCAAAGTATATTAAGATCTGAACTACCTATGATACGATATGGAAAATATCAGAAGGATATCGTTATAAAGAGGAATCTGCACAAGAAAACTCTCAAATAAAATGGAATTTGTTTCTTGAGCAGTATCTCCGAAGTGTTATAACACACAGATGAGCAGGTAGCATCTCTGCTAGTTCGCAGTTGACTTCTGTTGCTGAACAGTCGAAACCTCAAAGCTCTCCACTAAAATAAAACACATTTCTTGGCTTATCCGTGAGAGCTAGTGTACAGTAGAATCTCCATGAAAAAGTCACCTACTCTTTGTTCGATGGGCAGTAAATAAGTCAATGCAATGGGCCAAGTTGAGAGCAATAGACATGGCAGTGACGGAATAACTTAGTCCTGTGCCTCAGGGCAAGGTTTCAACATTTGAAGAGTCACAGGCAGTAACCAATATGAGAACATTGGTGAGTAAAGATTAAGAATAGCTCCAGTGTAGGGGATGCAATTATGGGAAGCCCTAAGGAACTTCCAAGAGAGGTTCATAGTGGGCCACAGAGATGCCCACATCAAGGATTGAGTTGGTTCAAGAAGATCAGTGAAATGTCAGGCTGATGCCCTGCCATTCCCTAGAAGTAGCCACCTCGGTAATTTTAGTGAGGACAGTGGTGCCAAAGGCATGCGGTAGTGGTGGAATAAGGATGTATATCACTTGTCTCTTAAGTCACCAATATGGTAAGAGACTGTTGAATACTAATCACAACACTGAAAAAGTAGCCATTTAAAGATGATGTTTGGAATAGTCTCCTGGGCACAGGGATCCAAGCCTATAAACCAGTGAATTATATAGGATTACTATTTCCAGTCCCTGGAGGAGTCAGATGGGTTTGACATTTATTCTATCTCGGGCTAAAGTCCAAACTCTGTCAAGGCTATCTGGTTCCCTGTCATACATCTTTCTGGACCAGCAGTTCTCAACCTGTGGGTCGCAACCCCTCTCAGGGTCGACCGACCCTTTCACAGGGGTCGCCTAAGACCATCGGAAAACACATATATAATTACAAATTGTTTTTGTGATTAATCACTATGCTTTAATTATGTTCAATTTGTAACAATGAAATTGGGGGCCACAGCAACATGAGGAACTGTATTAAAGGGTTGCTGCATTAGGAAGGTTGATAACCGCTGCTCTGGACCAAAGAATGCATCCCACACCCCAGTGTGTAGAAATAGGGTCCCCAAATCCCAATGTGACATGAACATAGTGTATTCCTTACCATCTGTAAAGTAGTTATTAACTTGATACTAAAACTGGTAACTGAAACATTATTGAAAATGCAGTGTGAAGATATGGAGGGCTGACCGGATCACTTAGGTGAATGTGTTTTGTTCAAATATGAGAGGAACTAAAGGGGGAACGGTTTTAACAAAGGACATGAACCAACCATTCCCAATTTTGTGGCTTAAAACAATAACTTATTTCTTGTGATTCTGTGGGTTGTCTGGTGTCAGCGAGGCAGCTCTGCTAGTTTTTTGTGGGGTCCCCACATAGCTATGTTCATTTAGAGCTCGGCTGATGCTGGAATGTCCAAGATGGCCTCTCATCCTTGTGTCCCTCTCCACGTAGTCTCTAAGCATTCGGTAATTTGGATTGGACTTCCTTACAGCATGGCAGTTGGGCTTCAAAAAGGAGAAGGTAAAAGATGCCAGTCCTCTGAAAGCCCGGCTCAAGAGTCCCAGAACATTCCTCCCCTACTTTCAATTTATCACGAGTGATAAGGTGGGTGACAGGCTCCACTCTAATTGTGAGCAGCAACATGCACAGATGAAAGAATTGTTGAAGTACCACAGTTTCCCTAAGGAAAATTTAAGTGCTATTACCATGGGAAGGACAATTAAAAACAAAAACAAAAACCAAAACCCCCCAGCCCTTGTTGATCCATGTTGGACTACTTGTCTGTACCACATTCCTGTGTCTGTTCATCTAGTTGTTGTGTTGTAAGCTCTGCTTGCTGGAAGGGACATCTTCAATTTGTCTTCTGCAGGCTTTTCATTCAGGAGAAAGTCCTAGAAGCTTGTGAGCTCTTTTTCCACTAGTCAGGCTAGTCATGGTACATTCATGAGTATAAGAGACACATTTTTTCATTGAACTTTTTATTTAGAGGGTATGGGGGGGATAAATGGTGATGGAAAAAATAAGAGGCAGATTTTGTACGTATTGTTAACTTCTGGAATATAAAGGCCAAGGGGACATAATAGATTCCCCTACACTCGTGGTGGAGGATGTGGTGTCTTTATTAAATAAGTATCTTGGGATGGTTTGGGTATTTTTCTAAGTATAACCTATGCTTCTATGGAGTGCTATCATGCAGTGATTCTCAAATGTAGTTCCCAGAGCAGGAGCAGGATGGAAGGACTCAATGAGAGAGAAAAAGAGACATCTGTAATACTTTAAGCAATAAAGATAAACTAAAAACAAACAAACAAAAACAAAGTGTAGTTCCTGGGGCCCGCAGCATCAGTATCATTTGGGGCTTGTCAGAAATGCAAAATTTGGGGTCCCAGCCTAAACCTACTGAATCAGAAACTCTGAAGATGGGCCCAGTAATCTGTGTTTAACAAGGTTTCCAGATGATTCTTGTGCATACTAAAGTTTAGCGACAGCAGTCATAGATGGTCCATAAAAATCCCTTCGATACTGTCATTTTCCTGAATTGTGCTCAACAAATGGCACTCACTTGGTACAGATGGCTGATTTCTAACTAATTTGAAATAGAAATAGGGGCCAAGACAACTGACATTTTCTCAACAGTCATTATCTTTCAGATTGTTTTCTCCTTCAGGATCCTGTTTATATAGGAGACTAGAAAAATCTGTCCTCATTGCTTACTTTTCTGTGCTACTAACAGGAGAGACCAGTGTTTAGATCCGGGTTAAAAAGAAGCCTTAAGGGTTGTGATGCTGGTAGTATCCCCAGAGGCCACTCTTCCCATTTCTTTCTTTTTTTAAATATATTTTATTGATTTTTTACAGAGAGGAAGGGAGAGGGATAGAGAGTTAGAAACATCGATGAGAGAGAAACATCAATCAGCTGCCTCCTGCACACCCCCTACTGGGGATGTGCCCGCAACCAAGGTACATGCCCTTGACCGGAATCAAACCCGGGACTCTTCAGTACTCAGGCCGTCGCTCTATCCAGTGAGCCATACCGGCTAGGGCCCATTTCTATTATTTGAGCAAATATTTATCTTAGCCTGGTAATTCTCTACTTCCCATGGTCTGAGTGTGACACTAAAGAGCAAATCATAAAAGGGAAGTCCGGGGGTCTTTGAGAATGCTACTGTTGTCTAGCTACTGGATTGCTGGAGTGATATTTATTATTGGCTTCAGTGGTACTGGACAGTGAGTACAGTGATTGGTTGCAACTGTAGCTCAGTTGTACCACAGGCTGTGTTTCAGTCAGTACCTTTGATCTGTAACATGCCCTGAATGTGCAGTGGGGAATCCTATATAATAAAAGCCCAATATGCAAATGGTCCCTGTGATCGGGAGTTCGACCAGGGGGTGGGGCTGTCCAGCCATCTGCGAGAAGGGAGGCCCTGGCCAACAGCCTGCAGCCAGTAAGGACCCTACCTGTGCATGAATTTCATGCACTGGGCCTCTAGTATGATATAAAAACTTATATAAAAAGTGTCTTTCTCTTCTAGGGGTTTATCACATGGCGAAGGAAATAAGATATATGCATAGCAATTAAATATGATGCAGATTGAGTGCCTTGAGAGAGGATTTGAGTGTTAAAAAGAGTTCAAAGAAGAGAGTGATCCCTTGGTGGATGGAGACCAATGAAGGCGTCATGGAGGAAGTGGCATTTCAGCGGAATCTTTGGTAGGTAGGAATATGAGTGTGTGGGGAGAGCAGTTCATGTCTGAGCATGAGGAAGAAGCTGGAGTCAAGAACCAGCAGGTGACTGTATCTCTAGCACCTATTTAGTGACTGACACACAGTAGGTGCTCAATAAATATCATGTGTTCTGTCTGACTCATAGACGGACCATTGGCTGACTAGAAGATTTTGGTTTTTCCTTTCTTTGGAAAAAGACAAAAGAAGAAGATAAAATCTTACAAAACGGAAAAATCAACTCAAAGATATTCTGATTTCAGATTCATTAAGGTGTGAGAGCAAAGTGCTTTTTTGAGTCTTAAAGGCAGCTGAAAATGTGAAACTGGAGTTCAAGTTAGAGAACAGTACATTATTGATTTTGGAGATAGCTTTGTGCTGAATAGCTTCCTTCCTCCACCTCACTCTAGCCTACAGCTTTCTCTACTCTGCTCCAGAGCCCAGGAGGCAGGCTTGTATGCTCTAGGACAGTGATGGCGAACCTTTTGAGCTCGGCGTGTCAGCATTTTGAAAAACCCTAACTTAATTCTGGTGCCGTGTCACATATAGAAATGTTTTGATATTTGCAACCATAGTAAAACAAAGACTTATATCTTTGATATTTATTTTATATATTTAAATGCCATTTAACAAAGAAAAATCAACCAAAAAAATGAGTTCGCGTGTCACCTCTGACACGCGTGTCATCGGTTCGCCATCACTGCTCTAGGACATCAAGCTGGACTTCCTTGCTTTCTGGCTTCCTGGAGAGCTTAGCCAAAGTGAAGACTGGCAAGAGTCTGACGGGAGGCGGGGGGATAAGGTGGATGTATTTATTTCTCCCAGTTCCCTATTTGGAGAGCTGGATGGGTCACTGCTCAACTGAAGGCCACAACTCCTGGCCACTAGCTCACGAGAAAATGGCTTATAATGACAGGGTGGCGTGTGTGCGAATCTTTATTCCTCAAAGGGCCAGACACCAGCCCAGTGGTGCAAGGCTGGTTTGAAGTAGAATCCGTTTTACCAGGCACTGCCAGTGAGCCCCACACAGGAATAGAGTGATCAGAGTGGAGAACCCAAATAGAAAAACACGTTTAAGGAGACTGGAGAGAGTCTCACGCTTTTGAAGTTCACCTAGTGTTTCCCAGCCCTGGCTGAAGGTCTGAGGAACTCCCACCTTGAACTTGGGAGAGCTCAGCAAATCTTCCTAAGGCTGCTGCTCATCGTAGACATAGCTTTTTCTTTCATAAAAGTTGACTCCCTGCTCCTTTCCTGGGTAGGGGGTACCAAAGGATAAAACATAAAGGTAAGGGGATTGAACTAAATCATGTGGGGTTGATCACTTCCCACATGAACATTTGGGCCATTAAAGCCATTTGGACATGTGATGGTTACCATTTAAGGCGAATCAGCTGAAAGTAAAGATACATATTTTCTGTAGGGATTTTTGAAATCTATGTATAAGATTTGAGGAACCATTTGCAGCTGTGTAACCTGAGATCCTATATGGAAACTGTTTAACCCAGAGTCTGGCACAAAAGGCACTCCTACAGGAAGATAAAGTGAGTTCCTGAGCCCTCACCACGTGTCAGTCCCTACAACCTTCGGATTCTAGGTGCTGAGCCATACTCGGGAGGCGAAGGGTGCAGAGTTCTCTTAGGGAAGGGAGGTCCCAAGGGGCGGGTGTGCCGAGGTCCCACAGACACCGTGGGGCGGGTGCACAGGGGCGCGCGTCCAGGGGCGCAGGCGCTCGCGTGCTTCTTGGTCCTCGGTGGTGCGGGCCCTGCTCCCCGCCGCCACCGCTGCGCTGCCCGCTGCCGGACCCGGACCCCACCAGCTCCATGAGGGTCAAGCAAGTGAACTTGCTGATGGCGCTCATCGCGGTCATGCTCTTCAGCTTCTCCTGTTTCTGTATCTACAGGATGACTCAGACCAGTAAGCGGAGGGTGACTTCTCCCGCCAACTGTCTCCCAACTGTCTCGCTTCGGGGCTCCTGGATTGTTGGGTCAGAGAGAGGGGGTGGGGTGACATAGGGACCTGGCGGGGTCGCCTGCTGTCCTAATAGGGGCTTCACAGATGTAGCCCCCACGCCCTGGCCCTGCCAGCGGTTGAGCTGTAACGGACACCCAGGTCTGTCCGCGTGGCTTTGACCGCCACTGGGCACGCGCGTTAACGCATTGGCCTGCCCGGCCTCGGGTAGGTTCGCACGTCGGTTCAAGGACCCGATCTGTGTCCAGCCGCACCCCCCACCCCCACCCCATTATTTCCAGAAACGCCAATGCCTGACTCCAAGAGCTGTCACACACCCAACATCTTTCCTCTTTCGTGTTCAGCATTTTCGAGCCACACTTCAGGGCTCCCTCAGTATATCCTGGGAAGCTGAGAAGGATGAGATGGTGCAGAGAGGCAATAACCAACAATTTAGGGTGCTGGTTTGGAATCTAACATGGCTCACATTGCCGGTTTGAAACACACCAAGGTTTTAATTTATTGTTGCTTGTGGCGTTCCCAATGAAGCAAATAAAAGTGGAGGTTGCCCAGTTAAATTTGAATTTCAGATAGGCAATGAGTAAGTTGTTAGTATAAAAATTGCATGGGATACATTGATACTAAAAAATTGTTTATCTGCAATTCAAATTTAACTTTGGTTTCCTGTATTTTATCTTTCAACTCTAGGCCATAGCGTAACATTTTAACATTTATACAGTTAAATTTTGAACGGAAGACGTAGGGATTCTGCAAACATATTAACCCAGCCTTCCAAGACTGTCCTTGGGTTGTTTTAGGTTAAATTTTCATTCTTTTGATACTCATTTATGACTCAGGGTGCACACTAAGTAATCTTGGTAGTAGAGTCAAGGATAAAGTTTGAAAGTGGTTTTAGTCCTCTTTAATGTTTATGTCCTCTAATTAATGCTAAAACTATGTTTTAGTCCCTTAATTAATACTAAATTTTGTCATGTACCCACAATACCAACATTGCATGCCATTTGTTTCAAAGATTAAAAAAATGTATATTAATTAATATGATATTTACTACTAATCTTTAATCATTTTATACTCTTTCCTTCTTCATTTTCTACAAAGACCATTACCCAAATATGTCTTTTATTTATTTTGGAACAATAAACAATGAACAATTTTATTAACAAAAAAATGTCATTACTCATAATTAGAAAGCAAAATGTAAACCTCTTTTGATAGTAATTTTGGAAGACAATTTAGATTGGCAACCTCATAGGACACTTTAATACAATTAACATTCTTTTAATGAAACTGTAGACTTGTTGAGATACATACAACCATTTTGGTGTGTTTTCTAGTTATGACCAGGAAAAACAAGTTTGGTTCCTCAAAGCGTTTATATTCCCATCCTTCATATGTCCAAGTTCAGAAAATGAGATCTTGAGAATACACTACTCTTTTTTTAAATCCTCACCTGAGGATTTGTTTATTAATTTTTAGAGAGAGGAAGGGGGAGAGAGAGAGAGTGAGGTGAGAGAGAGAGAAGCATCAATGTGCAAGAGAAACATTGATCCGTTGCCTCCTCCCCATCCAAGTGGGGGACCATGTATAATCACCAAGGTATCCGACCTGTGGGAATGTACATTTGTGTCTACAACATAGCCTGCAGCAGGACTGGCGAGGAGAGAGCTCCCAGGTGTAGTCAGCAGAGTCCAGGATCCAAGGGCTAATGGGTTCTTCATTATTCCTTCCTCCCTTGGCCTGTGCACCTCAAGGATAATTCCATTTAGACAATTCCATTATACTTAGTTGTTCAGATATATGCTCCTTTCCCACATCCCTTGCAAGCCCGATTGTTACTTAATTTAGAGCAGGAACCTGACTTTATCCATGTTTGTTTACCTATCACAGCACAGTGAGTGGCACATGATACCTATTCAGTGGGAGAAAGAATGAATAGCTCAGCGTGCTTCTTCTTACCGGAGGTATTTAGTGAATGAAATAAGGTAGAAAAGTTAGGTCATAGCCACATTGTATAGGACCTTGCATACTAAGGCAAGTTCATTTGGATTTTATTCAGCTAGCATTTAGGGAACCGTTTAAAGTCTTTGAGCAGGGCCGAAACCGGTTTGGCTCAGTGGATAGAGCCTCGGCCTGCAGACTGAAGGGTCCCAGGTTCGATTCCGGTCAAGGGCATGTACCTAGGTTGTGGGCACATCCCCAGTGGGAGATGTGCAGGAGGCAGCTGATCGATGTTTCTCTCTCATCGATGTTTCTAACTCTCTATCTCTCTCCCTTCGTCTCAGTAAAAAATCAATAAAATATATTTAAAAAAAAAATAAAGTCTTTGAGCTGGGTTTCCAGAAGACTAACTGTGGATTGGAGGTGAGAGACCAATTAAGAGGCAATTATAATAATAGTGCAGCGAGAGACAATAAAGACCTGAACTCTATAGTGAAGTCAATGATGAGGAAGATTCATCTATTAAAGGTCTATTAACAGTACTTCTTAAATTTTAACATGAATCTCAGTCTCCTGTGAATCATTAAAATACAGCTTCTGACTTAGGAGGCCCTGGCTGAGGCCTGAGATAGGTGTATAACAGGCTCGCAGCTGGTATCATTGATCTGTGCTGTCTGGTCCGGTAGCTCCTCTTCAGGTAGCTACTGGGCACTCAAAGTGTAGTGTGTGCAACTGAGGAACTGCATTTTAATCTAATTTTAAGTTAATCTAAATTTACATTTTAAAATGGAAGCAGTGCAAAATCTTTCTCCATTAAGAATTTTGTTTTGTTTTGTTTTGGTAGGACTACATTTTAGCATAACTGTTAATTTAGCATCTGAATTAAGATGTACTTTAAGTGTAAAATACACACAGGATTTTCAATACCATTTTTATATATATAATTTTTTTAGTACAAAAACAAAGAATGTAAACTATTTCATTAATTGCTTTTTATGTTGATTACATATTGAGAAAAGTTTTTAGATATTTAGGACTAAGTTAAATATATTATTGATACTTTCACTGGTCTCTTCTTACCCTTTTTTAAAGGCGGCTAGTGGAAA